AAAGGAGCAGGAGGCTGAGATGAAAGTCATGCAAACCGACCCCGGGACGTTGTCGGAGTTTGGACGAATGATCTATGAGCAAAGAATGAGAGAGATCAAGGAGAAATATAATTTACCTTAGTTTTTTTTATTAATGTATCGTTTTTTAAATTATTGACGCTTTTTTTATTTAATGAATGTATTTTTTTATTATTCGTGTTTCAATTTAATTAAATAATAAATTAATTACATTTTATTAATTTAATTTTAGAAGATGTATATTTAAAAATGTAAAAAATGAAGGTTTGAAGCCCAGTTTTGAAGCCACGGGGCTTCAAACCCATTTCCAGTGAATTTTGGGTGTAAGTTAAAGCTGACGTGGCAGAGAGAGAAAGTTTGAAGCCCCGGTTTGAAGCCCCAGGGCTTCATAACCATTACCAGTGCTCTTAGGGGTTATTGAATTCGTGATGTATCTTTATTATTTATACGGCTATGAGTATGTGATATTATGTGGCCATTTAAAGACAATATCATATTAATGCGAAATGAGACTTTATTATTTTGAGCATTAAAGACAAATTTGTTTTCAAAAAAGCAATGAACTAAATTAAAATGGGCTGGCGCGCCAATGTTTTTGTGCATTCTTATTCTACAAATGTATCGTCATAATATTTGTCAAAATCTACTTTGTAATTGTTAATAGATTTTTATATGAGTTGTGGATAATCTCACATTTTTTATGAATTGACAAATACGGAGTAGTTTTTTTTTGCAAATGGTAATTTGTACTAGATGTTATCAATGCATTAAGGTATATATAACACACATGGTTTAGTACTACGTGTTTCGTACCAGAGTAAATTAACATATTAGTAATGATGAATTGGTTTTCAATTTTTCTCGAATATTTTTGTAATATAAATCTAATTAAATAATTTTGTACTAGAGGGTAAAATAAAACTCCGTATTTATTTAATTAATCATTAGACTTCATCCGATTTGACCGCAAAAAGACAACTTGAGCGAATATTAGAAATACCTAACTATGATGCTTAATATACTGAAATAAGATTTCAATCTTTTTAAGCCAAAATAAAATTTATAATGTCAAAGGTGTCAATATATACTACTCCGTATTAAAAAAATATTACTATGTAAAGAATGCCATTATACAATGCTAAGTTTTGACAATTCACATTATTAATACTTCTATTTAGAAATAAAATATAGAAAATTTTCTTTTGGTATAGATTTACGTTTTACTTCCTCTATCCCACTTTCTTTATCGACATTCTTTTTTGACCAAAAACCAATAAAGTGTGGAGGGGTTAGTGAAAATGACTCTAATGCCCTCCCTCCCATGACCCACCATTCATATGCCACTCATTAAAAAAGGGGTCTTTCATACTTTAACATTAAATCAATTTTCAGATACAAAACACAGTGTTCACATACCAATCCGTATGGAGATTTGGTGGACTTATTCATTACAAAAATTTGGCTCCAAAGGAACAAAAAACTTCCCTCCAAATCTAATTAAGTGCCTGGTCTTTTTCTTCCATTCATAACCGAGTGTATTCATGGCTAAAATCCACCATTGATCCTTCAACTTTACCAGTTGTGCACGATTGGTCCTTCAAGTTTTAGAAATCCATAAATAGTCTTTCAATTTTATGAGTTCTGCACCATTGGTCCTTCAAGTTTCAAAAGTCCATAAGTAGTCCTTCAGGTACACGTCAGCCCTCCAGATGAAGTCTTTTTCACATTAAATATTAAAAGTTAAACGAAATACTAGTTTCATATAATACGAGTAAATTTCACTAGGTACGACTACTCCGTATTATATGGAGCTAGTATTCCATTTAGCTTTTAACATTTACTGTCAAAAGGACCTCATCTGGAGGGTTGATGTGTACTTGAAGGACTATTTAAGCATTTTTAAAACTTGAAGGACTAATCGTGCATAACTCATAAAGTTGAAGGACTATTTATGGACTTTTAAAACTTGAAGGACCAATCGTGCACAATTGATAAAGTTGAAGGATCAACGGTGGAGTTTAGCCGTGTTCATTTTGCAGTGATCTTTTTCTTACGTTCATCACCCAATTTATTCAATCTTCTTTTTGCATCTCTGATCTCTCTTACCTGACTTGCACTAATCTTTTTCTTCCATTCCACCCAGTTTTTTCTTCAATTTCATTTTCTTCAAGAATGGAAGATCCCACAGGCACCCAACTTGAACCTGAAACACAAAACACCTACACCAAGAATAAAACAACCCTACAAGGTTTCTAATGAACAAAGAGCATGCATCATTACAGTGATTTTACAACACATAAAAAACGTAACGGAAAGCCGGCAAGGGGTGCAATGATTTTCCAAGAGGCAAAGTCTGGATTTTGAATAACAACTCCATCTTTGAGAATATTTTTGGATAAAAGTGTTTCGGATCCATCAATCCAACAAGAAGAAGATTTGCTTCAAGCACGGTTTTAACATTTAGGGACCACAGTTTGTATATGTAAATTTTTCATGGATCAAATTATGGTAAAAGTTTTACCCTGGAAGGGAGAGCAGCCAAAAGATCAGACGGTGCCGCCATAAAGAGTGACGGTCGACCATTGGAGGAACACGGTTGACCAGCGATAGAGCACGGTCAAAAAAAAGGTTGGGGTTTGGGAGAGACCTTTACTCCAATATTAGGGTGTATCGAATCCGCGATGTATCTTTATTACGGAGTATTTATATTGCTTGGTATTATGAGTATGTGATACTATATTACTATGTGGCCATTTAAAGACAATATCATTAATGACAAACGAGACTCTTTATTATTTTGAGCATTAAAGACAAATTTGTTTTCAAAAAAGCAATGAACAAAAAAGCAATGAACAAGAGATGGGATCAACTACTAATGCTTCCTTCCATTCAACTTATTTTTTCTGATCTGATCTAATTCTAATAAGTTCTGATCTAATCTAGTCTGATCTGATCTAATCTTATTCTGATCTAATCTGATTGGATCTGATCTGATCAGATTGGATTTGATCTGATCTGATTAAGTATGATTTAATTTAAAATTTCAAATCAATAATTTAATTTGACTTTATAATAACGTTTGAAAATTGTAATGATAATTCATATTATAATATAATCAATATTTTTTATTTAATGTTTATTTTTTAATAAAATAAAAATAGCTAATTCATATATTAAAATAATCATTCATATTATACTGTAATAATATTTTTTATTTTGTGATTATTTTTTTGTGAAATTAGAATTATACATTAGAATAAATATTTAATTTAGATATACATTAAAAAGTAATTAAATTTAGATAATCAATATATAGAAGAGATAGTATTTTTATTAAAATATCTCATCCTTATAAAAGATCAAAAGTTTAGAAACTCAAATAACAAGTTGTAATAAAAGTATATTTTAAAAGTAGAATTAGATTGACATTGTCAATGTATTTTAAAACTAATTTTTCCGGCGTCTAATAATTAAGGATTACTTTCTCAGTTTTCTATTTAACCTGTTTCTAAAGTTTATTCTTTTTCATTTGTAAGAACAATAATGATGATGATGATGATGATGATGATGATGATGATGATAATAATAATAATAATAATAATAATAATAGTAATAATAATAATAATAATAATACTAATAACAACAACAATAATAATAATTCTTGATGGTATCTGATTTTAATAAGTCCTGATCTAATCTGATCTGATCTGATCTGATCTGATTGGATATGATCTGATCTGATTGGATCTGATCTGATCTAATTGGATCTGATCTGATGTGATTGGATTTGATCTGATCTGATCTGATCGATCTATCTGATCTGATTTTAATAAGAAAAAGAAAAAAATAAGTTGAACGGAATGGGGCCTAAGTATTTACCCATGAAGCCTCGGGGCTTCAAACCTTCTCACTTTGTCATATCACTTTTAATTTACCTCACACTTTCAGTAGAAATGAGTTTGAAGCATCGGAGCTTCAAGCCTTTAATTTTTACATTTTAAATACACATCATCTAAAATTAAATAAATAAAGTTCAATTATTTTATTATTTAAAAGATTAGAAACAAGAATATTTCATTAAAAAAATTACATTCATTATAAAAAATAACATTTACTCCGGGTATTAAATAAAAAAAATTACATTCATGAAAAATAAATAAAATACTTGAATAATACAGAGTAAGTTTTTAAAGGAAGATGATAGATAGAGAGAGATTTGTATTTATGTTAAATTTAAAAAAAATTGATTCAATTTATAGAGAAGGAAAGAGGGAGAATTTTTTTATTTGTAACGGCAAAGTAGATCGAACAATCTCACTAGAATTGCTATTGTTCATTAGTTGCTGCCTTGCTGGAGCAAAGCACCATAAGTCTAACATAGAATTCAAAAGTAAGCAAATTCAAAAAATCATATGTAATCATTGAAACCATTCAATAATAAAACAAAACCCCGTGGTGATTCATCATATCATTTGAAATATTCATCTGCATTTAGGAAAGAAAATAATTTCATTAATATGTACTCAAGAAATTAGAGACCACAAAACCATTCAAATTAATTTTTTCGTAAAATTTGCATAAAAATAGTAGTGTTATCAGTTTCTTTTTTAAGAGGTAGGTGTACCGGGATGAAATTCAAAAATTGTTAGCAACATAGATTTTACCATTTGCAGTGAACATGGGACTGTGATGTTTAATATAGATACTATACTCTGGCAAAATGTTAACTGAAAAAATGATTTCTAGCAAAATATTTTCTTAATAATTTCATAGCAAGTAGAATGTTTTATGTCTAATTCTTGGAGGAATTGGGGTTCTTCATAAATTGAATGGCACAAATTAGCCTACTCTACCATCTATTATCGAGAGGAGAGATGCTGAAGCCACGCGAGGCAAATTGCCGAGGATGCTGATGTGGCGCAGCGAGCGAGGAAATGCCTCGCCACTGCGCATGCTCTAAAAAAATAAGACTTCCATATTTTTATTTTTAAATAGGAGTTAAATTGCATTTACATTAATAAACGTGGTCATGTACATTACCAAAAAGTATAGTAATGTGTACGGGTACAATGTCATATTACCTCTATATTATTACAGCGCGAGCTCCTATTTCGAGAATAAAAATAAAAAAGTATTCCCTCCGTCTACCAAAGATTTTCTCATTGCGCATTACGAGGTTTGATCGACTTTATTTTCAATTCAATTTATTTGATTGTGAGGATAAAATTTAAAAATAAAAATTATATAGTAAAAAATTACATGAAAAATTCTACATAAATAGAGGTGACAATACTATTTTATTATATGAAATGAGTGGTTAAAATAAGCAAACAAAGTGAGTTTACTTTAACCCTTTAAATAGTGTTTGAGAATGGTGTATAGGGAGACTATTTTAATACTCGGAATTTTTTCTATGTACAATAAACAAAAGGACCGTGCTACAGTGCACCCACCCATGCCTCCTTTGCTACCTCTCTATTTAAGGTATTTTTTTTATCTTTTCTCCTTCTTTTTTTTCTCCTTTCCTCTATGTTGCTCTGGATCTGCACTTCCGCGGCAGCGACCCGCTCTCTTTTCCCTTTCATGTGCTCTCCTTCTTACAAGCCGGCAGGTAATCTCTTCTTTTTCTTATCTTCATCTTCATATCTCTGATGCGTCAATTTCTATGGCAATAATTTTTTGATTTTTTGTAGAGTACATAGGATATTTGGTGATTATGGACTTACAAACATCTATTGTTACACATGTTGAGAATGAGCAACCACATGATTTTGGTGGTGAAGAAGAAGACCTGGTTTATATGAGTTGCAGCCCAGTTGTAAGTGTTGATATTTAGACCCCATTCTATATTTATTTGAAGTAGTGAAAAAAACTGTTTTGTTTTCGTGTTACAGAGAGTAAAGTTCTGTGAATCTAGGGTTTGTCCTTGTCACAGACGCTAATTATCTGTATGAAGTCTGCATTTGGTGTATTATTGTTTTCTTCATAGTCAGGTATTTTATTATATTAAAGGTACTGTTTTTTGCAGCTTTTGAACCAGATTTTTTTCTAAACGATCCTTGCTTTCAGTATTTAATTAACGACGAAGGGCAAGAACAGGCGAGTGGTGAGATCAGACAAAACACAGATGACATTAACAATGATGTCCGGAACAATGGTCAATGTTCTTCTAAAGGAAACAAAGGTAGCGTGCCTGAAGTGGGGATGAAGTTTACAAGCATTGAAGAAATTTGAGAACACTATCTGGCTTATGCTCGAAGTGTAGGATTTCCAATGCGGACTAGGACAACTCGCAAAGCCAAAGATGGAACTCTTAGAAGTGTTACATTTGTGTGTAGTCGACAAGGAAATAAAAAGAGCAAAACACAAGGTGTGTTCCACCCTTTTTGCTTTTTGCTTTTTGTGTAAAGTATGTAACAAGTATGATAACTTTCTCTGAGTTCCCTGCACATAAACTAATGTAAACCTGATGTAACTCTGTCTTCACATACATTAAGTCTTTGTGAAGTCTGTGACATAGACAGTTATTCCATGTGAGCACCAAGAAATCTAATGTATGCGTTTTAACTTTGTTTTTAGCTATACAAGACCCCCAGATATGTGATGAAATTCTGAAGATGGTGTATGTGCATAACGTTAAGTAACTCTGTCGTCACATACATTAAAGCTCTGTGTAATGGGTAAAATAGACAGTTAATTTCTGGGAGGGATCTGAAAGTAAATCTGTAATTCAATTATAAACTAAGGTAAATCATTCATCACACACAGTAACAGATTGTGCATTATCAAGTAGAAATTCATGATGATAAAAGCCCCATTACAAAAAAATCAAAAAATCTGAAGTGCATAACATTATGTAACTCTGTCACATACGTTGAAGCTGTGTGTAATAGGTAAAATAGACGGTTATTCTCTGTGAGGGCTCTGAAATTAAATTTGTAATTCAGTCATAAACTAAGGTAAATCATTCATAACACACAGTAATAGATTGTTCATTAACAAGTAGAAATTCATGATGCTAAAAGCCCCATTACAAAGCTTTCAAAAAAATCTAAAGTGTTTCCCCAAAAAATACATTACAAAACACAAAAACCATTACAAAGAGTTTCACAAAAATTAAAGATCCCTAAAATTGTAAATTAAATATTGGTTGTTTTCCTTTCACGCCATAACCTAGCTGCAAATTGACATCGGAAATCAGCCATGTGTTCAGAACTGCAGTCCGGGCTTAATGGTAAGGCTAGCAACAAATACTCTAGAAATGCTAGCACCATCACTCCACAATTGCCATACCTGTAAGGGAAAATAATATTAAAATAACAAACAAACCTCTTTCACAAACAATAATGTTTTATGAAGTTTAATAAACAAAAGTTAATCGTCTATGAGATACAATTCACAGAAAGCAAGCAAAAATAACAAGTAGACCTCTTTCACAGACAATAATGTTATATGAAGTTTAAATAACAGAACTTAACCATTTATGCCATACAATTCGCACAGTAAGCAGAAATAACAAGCAAAACTATTTCACAGAGTCCAATAACAAGTGGGGTATATGCTAAGGACCATGCTACATTTACACCAAAAAATGTACATATAGCTTAATCCAAAATCTAAAGTGTTTCCCCAAAAAATACATTACTTGTTCGTAGGGGTGGGGCTGCCGGCGCTGGAGCTGGAGGGGTGGGCCTGCCGGCGCTGGAGGGGTGGGGCTTCCGGCGCTGCCATGCTCTCGACGGAGAAGAAGGACGTGAAATTGGAGTTGTCCGAATTCTGTCGCTTGAAGAGGTTGAAGTGAGAGAAGGGAGATTTGAGAATTTTGGGGAAGAAGGTGGGAGAGGAAAAAAGACTAAGAAAAAAGAAAAATTAAAAAAAAATTACATATATTGGGTGACATGCTTGGAGACACATGTGGTGCCTCTTTAGCATTCTCCTAAACAAAATCCACGCATGGCAAACACAATACACGAAATCTCTGTCAGGCGGCGAAGTTCCTTTTACGAATGAAATTAGGAAATCTAGATGTGTCGGGCGAAGTTCGTTTAAAAGGAATTGATTCAATCCTCCTACTCCCGTGAGGCTTCTGGATTTCTCGGCTTCAGTCATCTTCTTAAAATCAGAACTGAATCGACAAGACGACAACCATATATCCCCCGCCTTAGTCACCGTCATCTTCTCCGCACCGGTCGCGGTCACGGCGTTAATAGCCCCGGTGGTTCTGCGACTTGTCACGGCGTTAATAGCAGCGGTCGCGGTCACGGCCTTAATGTCACACAGGCCGTGAAACTCCACGGCGCCTGTGGAACGGTAATTTTCCCGGGTTACGCGACTCCTCAGTTTTAATTTCTGTTTCCAGATCTGTTGAGATTCATCACCCGATTATAATTTCACATGATTTGATTCCGTGAATTTATGTTTTTTTTTACAGCTTCTTCTGCGGCTACCAGACCGGCATCTTTTTTTATTGTTCAAATAGTGTTGAAATTTCGTCATCTCCATAGTCAGCAGATGGTAATGGAAGCCGATTCTCAAACCCTAAGCCTTCCCCAAGATATTATAACTGACATTCTCAAACGACTTCCTGTGAAAACCTTAATCCGATTTCAGTGTGTGTGCAAATCCTGGAAGGACCTCATCAAGTCCTCATCTTTCGTCGCAGAACAGCTTCACTGCACCACTCCTTTTCTTCTTTTCAGCCGGAGCAGAGATTTCAGTTTGGGGCACGGAGATTGTAGTTTGGGTTTACGTTTACTCGATTGCAACCTGCAAGTCCGAGAGGAGCTGCCAGAGCCACCTTTAATAATTGATCCATTGAATCATGCTATCGTAGTCTGTTCCAGCAATGGTTTGCTCTGTCTTCGAATCTCCATGTGTAGATCATGCAAGCAAGAACTTCCTCCATCCCTTATAGTGTGGAATCCAGCGATTTTTGAGGCCCTTGTGCTTCCTCCAACCTCACTAATTGTAAATTACCGAGGTAACTTCTTTGTAGGATTTGGATTCAGCCCAATCATTAATGATCACAAGGTAGTGATGATTTGGTTTTCTGCCGAATCTTTTGGTGCTAGTCGAGCAGAAGTGTATTCATTATCTTCATGCTCATGGAAAGTGGTAGAGTGTGGGTTGTTAGATGGCATGTGTCTGGAGTTTCAAACTGTCACAGCCAATGGATCGATGTTTTGGATTGGGTCCAAAAAGTGTGTTAATGGCGATGGGGGTACACGTACTGATCTAAAGATTGTCTCATTTAACATAACAACCGAGGTGTTCACTCTCATACCAATGCCATCTCACTCCTTTTCATTCTATAGACTTGCAGTTTGTGAGAAGAAACTTTGCTTAATAGCAGCCCCTTCTGCTTCTTCTTCTTCTTCTTCTCCGGGCTCTGGTTCTAAAATTCATTGGTGGGTGATGGAGGAGGACAGATGTAATTGGGTTAAAAAATATATTAGCTGCCCCCTTTCATGCGCATTGTCTCCTGTGACTATTTGGAAGAATGAAATTGTGTGCTATGTGGGTGGTTCTGTTAGGGTAACTGAATTTGCAGGGGTTAATGATGAGCCAAATATTGCTCTTCTCAATCTCACTACCGGTGGATACAAGCTTTTTGTTTTCCGTGAACGTTATATTGCTATCAATCATGTGGAGAGCCTTGTACCAGTTAGAGGAAAGAAGTACTCATGCACTTGGACTTCATAGTTGATGCATTTGGAGGACGATGAAACAAAGTCACTTTTCTCCCCGTCGTCCCAATGCTATGTTTTGACATTTCAGAGTATCTATACTTCTATTTATAAATAAAACTTAGGAGTTTTTCTTTTGGAATAGATCTACGTTTTAGCAAAGTAGATAACTTAATTTTGAAATGAAGAGGTATTTCTTGAGAATCCCAAGTACTATAATTTACTCAGATTGGCTGCAGTTTTACCCTTCAGTATACAGGGTATGCATAATGGAAAATATCTGCTCCAAGTATAAACAAAATACAGTACTAGAGTTACAAAAAAAGATCACAAAATTCACCAACTTATATATTGAATTTAAATTTTTATTTTTTTACGAGCAATTGTTTGTGACCATTTATTCTTCTTGTGATGTTGACAAATAACACGTTTGTAAGTTTTTCACTCCGTGACTTTTATTAGCAACTCTCACTATTCTGGAGTATATATAGTTAGATTTGGACAAATTATCTGATGCTCATTTTATAGTCTTTAATACATAAAAGAATTATATTTATTGTGCCTTGTAAAAATAAAATGATATAATTATGAGCCCATGAAAATATATGAGATAGTCAACGTTTTACATATAGATCTTAGGATCACAATAAAACAACAGTACAGAATAACTGTACAATAGTTGTAAAAGCCTCACTTGGACTTAGCATGCTCCCTTTACATTAGATCTTTGGGGCAGATGTAGCATGCTTCCTTTACATTATCCCACTTGCAAAACCATTTCAATGATGTCATAAACTGAATGTGATAGAAAAGCTTAATAAAGTCCTTCAAGAGAAGGTAATTCCAAATAAGCCAGTGTATCCTATTGATTTTGGGCCTATTTAAGAATAGCGTTAGAGGCCAGCGTTAGCGTTTCGGATAAAATTTTAATGGTGCAGATTACTTTGAAAACGCTACCCGTAGATAGCCTTTTCAAAACGCTAACGCTATTCCCAAACAAATCCTTTTTCAATTACTGTCTTTCATCAATCTCATACCATATACGGAGTAATACATCAACATTACTTAAGCAAAAAAGTTAGTGGGTGTATTCAATCCGAATTCTGATAGATTTTTTTAAATGTTGAAAATCTGTGGGTATTCAGTTTAGAATTTAAAAAGTCATTTAAAATTTGGGTGTATTCAATTCAAATTTTAAAAAATCTTTCTAAATATGATGGTATTCAAAAATTGATGGATTTTTAAAGATTTTAAAAATTGTAGATTGTGATGGATTTTCATGCATTGGGTATAAATACAAATCCAATTTCCAAATCCAATCAAAAGACCTGAGATTTTGCCTACTCCTATTCTCGTTCTTCATCTTCTCTCGTCCCTGCCCTGTTCTTATGCGTCGCCGGAGCTCGGAACCCCGACAGAAGGCCTTCCTCGGCTCTGCACGTTGCTCTACTGCTGGGGTGCTGTTGGCCGCTGCAATCCTATCGCCGAAGAGGTCGCCATCGTCGTCGAGGAGGTCGTCCTATCGCCGAGGAAGTCGTCTTGTTCGCCGTAAGAAAGCCGGGAGGAAGACGGAGGAGAAAAAAGAAAAGAAAAGAAAAGGAAAAAAGGAAAGAAAACATAGAAAGAAGGAAATGGGATGGAAGAAGCGTCGCGGCTAGGGTTCCTGGGGGAAGAGGAGAAAAAAGAAAAGAAAAAGAAAAAGAAAAAGAAAAAGAAAAAAGAAAAGAAGAAAAAAAAAGAAAAAAGAAAAAAAATTGTAAATCCTATAAAATCTTTGATAGAATACATTAGAATCTAATTAACTCTGCGTAAACTTTAAACAATCCAATGAACTTACAAAATCTATGGATTCTAAAAAATCTATCAAAATCATTTAAAATCTAAATTGAATACACCTCCCTTAGAAACAATCCACATTCTAACAGCTAATTTATAGTATATCAGTATTAAAAAAAAAAAAATAAATGGATTTAAAGATAGGTCAAATCAAATACAACAAAAAAATACCAAGTGATCAACTGAACCCACTACATGGAAAGAACATGCCCCAAACAGAGAATCAAAATTTAGAATCAAAGCCTTACCATCACTAGATGTGGATGGAGCAGGCCAGTGTAGATGGCAGAGAGAAAAGAGTGAATTTTGTTTCATCATTCCCCACATGCATCAACTAGAAAGTACAAGTGCATGAATACTTGTTTCCTCTAACCGGTACAAGGCTCTCCACATGATCAAAAGCATGAAAACATTCAGGCAAAGCAAAAAGCCTATATCCACCGGTAGCGAGATTGAGAAGAGCAGCACTTGGCTCCTCATTAACCCCTGCAGATTCAGTTGCACTAGGAGACCCATCCAGATAGCAGACCATTTCATTCTTCCAAACTGCCAAAGGAGACAATGGGCATGAAAGGGGGCAGCTAATATATTTCTTACTCCAATTCAATCTTTCCTCCTCCATCACCCACCAACGAATCTTAGAACCAGAGCGCGGAGAATAAGAAGGGGCTGCTATTATACAAAGTTTCTTCTCGAAAACTGCAAGTCTATAGAATGAAAAAGAGTGGGATGGCATTGGTATGAGCGTGAACACCTCCGTTGCTATGTTAAAAGAAACTATCTTTAGATCACTACGTGTACCCCCATATCCATTAACACGTCTTTTGGATCCAACCCAAAACATCGATCCGTTGGCTGTGACAGTTTGAGAGTCGAGACTCATGCCAACTAACAACCCACATTCTACCACTTTCCATGAGCATGAAGATAATGAATATACTTCAGCTCGACTGTCATCGAAAGAATCATCAGGAAACCAAATCAATAGTATCTTGTGATCATTAATAATTGGGCTGAACCCAAATCCTAGAGAGAAGCTACCTGTGTAATCTACAAGTAAGGAGGTTTGGGGAAGCAGCCGGGCCTCCCGAATCGCGGGGTTCCACACAAAAAGGGACGGGGGATAGGCATACTTGCATGATCTACACTTTGAAATTCGAAGACAGAGCAAACCGTTGCTGGAACAGACGATGCTTGACTGATTATCCAATCGATCCATTATCAAACGCGGCTCTGGCAGATCTCGGACTTGCATGTCGCAATCGATCATACACAAACGCAAACTAAAACCTCTCTTCTCTGGAAAATAATCTATGATCCGAGTGAAAACAAGGGAAGGGAATTTCTGAGTGGCGTAGTGAAGCTGTTCGGCGATGAAAGGTGAGGACTTGATGAGTCGCTTCCAGGGTTTGCACACACACTGGAATCGAATTAGGGTTTTCACAGGAAGTCGTTTGAGAATGTTAGATACAATTTCTTGCGGAAGGAGTAGCGAATCGGCTTCCATGACCCCCTGCTCCTTGTTGATTTGATTTTGGAGATGATGAAGGGCTTGGGATTTAAATAGTCAAATTTGCCCCAACACTTTTCCGAATCCAGAACCGTTTCCTTTTTATGCTATTAGTACTCTTTTTTACGTCGAATCCCCAAATTAGCCTCCTAAATCTCATGCCCCACTGGTCTGTTATTCGTCCTATTCTTTTGCATCTTGCCTAATTTTTTAGTGCCGATCTTAAGAAGAGTAATTGTGCATTTATGCTGCAATTTTATTATTTATTCAATTGTTTTAAAATATTGTATCATTTAGGCTATGTTCTTTTAATTGGAAAAATTAACTTCTAATTTCTTTTAATTTCTTCTAATTCTTCCAAAAAATGACGTTTAAGTATTTACATTTAGTGAATATACAATAGCAATATATATCGAAATTTATAATCAACTACCTCAAAAATGCAAATGAATAAATTTTTTTTTAAATATAAAATTAGAAGTTTTTAACATATTTTTTGTGTGATCATTTAATTAAATGCCTTTTTAATAATCTAGTTCTTCCAATATTTTTCAACTCCTTCAAGTTTTTCTAAATCTTTCGAGTTTCTTCCAACATCTAATTTTGAAATTTCAACCCATAAGAATAAGACTTTAATTGTGTCACATCATCATCACAAAAATAATAATATTTTTGTCACAAATATTTCATTAACTTATCATCTCTTAAGGCAACATTAATGTGTTCTAAAAAGTTTGGCTTAATTAATTTTATATCCTCATGGACAAGGCAAAAACTAATTTCCAATTATTAATTAACTTTTCTCTCGACATAACTAATTAATTTAACATTAAAAATAATTCTAGAACAATTATTCCAACTATTAACTAAACATACAGAGTATATACCCAAATTTAGCTAGGACCCTAATCTGGGCCTTAACCCATACTAGATATCAGCAGTGCATAAAAGAAACAAACATTTTATTAAAATTGCAAGTATTTAAACTTACAACAGAGAGCAGAGTTGGAGCCACTTTGGGACAACCGGAATAAAAGTAAACTAAAATATTACTCCCTCCGTCCTAAAACTTTCTTCCCAGAGCACTATTCCAACTTCACGAGAATTTATATTTATTTGTGTTTTTTCATGACCTATATGATAAAATAAAATATTCTTGTCACCACTTGTTTTGTTGAACTTTTGATGTAGTTTTTAAATATGTATGTTTTATTTTTTATTTCTATACCAATATTTAAATAAAATAGATTGAAAAAACTTGAGATTTTTCTTCGTTTTGCGCAACGGAAAGAAAGATATAGGACGGAGGGAGTAAAATATAACTGAGAAAAAAGCGGAGAATGGAGTTCCGGGCCTTAAAGACCCGGATTGGAACTTAATGTAAATGAAGGGGCGAAGCCCTCCTTTTATAGGAGAAATTTTCGGTTCAGGCCTCTGACAGGCGTGGGCCTGAGGTCCAGCCAAAGCCTGGAGAGTTAGTGCTCAAGACTGCGCGGATTTGGAGATCAAAGGATTAGGGAGTATATTTCTTTTGTTTTTCATGCGTCACTCCGCTAAGGCACTAACTCCTTTCTATTTGTCTTTCTTTCTTTTTTCGTTAATTCATGGAGACACCCACTTGCTGCTGGCCTGCTGCTACATTGCTGCCACACTTGACCGGCCAGCCAGGTTGCGCCACGTGGCAGCACCTGGTTGGTCGGATTTTTATCTAGTCCAAAATATTTTTCCAAAAATGCTATCTTGCTCAAAATTTTATTCTGAACAATTTTTCCTTCTGTGCCGACTTCAAGTTCCAAAAAAATTTGGGTCAAACGAATTATTTTGAATTGAATCAACATTTTTTACTTTTTCTTTTCAAACAATTTCCTTTTTTTAATTTGTTTGACCTCAAATCTTTTGACGGGGTGCATCGCCATATTTGAATGCACATTTTTCACTTCAAGGATTTTCACCATCTTTTGTCTCCTTGCTTCGTTGTATTCCATTTGCACAATCTTTTACACTTTTTGTACAACTTTTTGACTCAATTTTTATTCTTTTTACAACAAGACATAACTTTTGCACACTTTTGCAATAATGAATAAAATATATAAAAAACATTGAGAAATTGATTTGTTTAATCCAAAATTAGACCACAACACATTAAATATAGAGAAGATAAGTGCGTACAAAACGGACTTATCATTATCCAAAGTGACAAGATTATGGAAAAGAGTTATATATGAGGAGACATGTGATCAGACGCTCCTGTATCAACTATCCAATGACACTTATCAACCATATTAGGCTCAAGCTACTCAGTACAAAGGGTGAATCAAGTGCCATACCTGAGAAGCTAGTGGAAGCCATGTTGGCCTCATGAAACTCTCCTTGTCCAGTTTTTCCTTTAAACATCCTCATCACTTCTTGGCAAATGACAGAAACCAACTCCTGATCTATCTGTTGCTTGTGATTCTGATTCCCATTGAGTTCAAATGGAGATTCCAGAGATGATTCCTCCATCCTTTCACTTAAATTGACATGAGTTGCCAATTTTGTGTTTCCAAATTTCTTATTCTTCTTTCCTTTGTACCAGTCAGGGTAGCCTATCCTTTCAAAACATTGCTCATAGAGGTGTCCTTCACTTTTACAGTGTTTGCAATATTTCTGGTCACCTGTCTTGAACCTTTTATCCTCCCTCCTGTCTTTGAGTGATGACATTCTACCACCTTCATCATTGGCAAAGAAGGCTCCTGATTCTGGAATATTGCGAGTGACATTCCTCTGTGTTTCAATTTGTTGGATTATGTAGATTGCTCTGCTCAAGGTAGGCAGAGGCTCTGTTCCCAGCATCTGACTGTAAGACAAATTATCTTTGGGGAATTTTATCAAACAGGTTGTAGGCAACCTTGTTTAGAAGAAATGTTAAAACTATAAATATTTAATATGGATCAGAACAAGCTCAAAAACAGAACAGGAATGGGAAGAGGACTTGATAATTTTATTAGTCTATAGCTACGCCAATTTATAGGCTATACAAAGCAACAAGATAGACAGTACTGCATTTCCTAAAAATAAGGAAAGCCACAAAAGTGTAACTAATGACATAAGAATAGGACAATAACTGAAATGATAAACCTATTAATAAATAATGACTTTGTCAACTGGCTTATTCAACATTCCTTCCCTTAAACTGAAACATCAAGTATGTTCCAGTTTAAATGAGCTCACAGACACCCAACTGTTTCCTTAACCTCTGAAAAACTGAAATCTTCAAAGGTTTTGTCATTACATCAGCAACTTGGTCTTCACTCCTGCAGTGTAGAAGCTGGATTACTCCATCTCTTGTGTAGTCCCTGAGAAAATGAAATCTGACATCTATATGTTTACTTCTTCCATGTAGTACTGGATTTTTTGACAACTTGATAGCAGAGCTGTTATCACAAAATATAATAGAAGCTCCCTCTTGTTCAAACTGCAGCCCTTTAAGAATTCTCCTTAGCCAAACTGCTTGACACGCACAACTNCTCTTTCATTTTTTTCACTTCCAACAAAACACTTCCACTTTCTATTAAAAAACCACTTTTACCCTTACTTTTTCATACCCTACCTATCACATCATACTTTATCTCTAATAATCTATCCATCACATCTTACTTTTATCTATCACATCAAGGGCAAAATCGGAAGTCAACTACAATTTAACACTTCCTTATTTTTACACAAAGTCAAAATAGGAACACTTTTTCCAAACGGAGGGAGTATTAAGTTTGTTTGGCAAATGTATGTAATTTTTAAAGTTGAAACAATAGAAGATCTGATAGAATTAGTAGTGGAATATACTCTTGGTCTATGATGATGAAGTCACTTGTTGTCTGTTGACCTTTTTGTGTGAAGACAAACTTGCGGGGCAGTTTGGAAATAATAGTTCCAAGTACATTTGTTATTCAGGACATAACAGTGTTAGATGAATAAGTCTTTTAACACAATGGGCATCTGAGTGGATGCAAAAATGACCTCACCTCGACAACAACAAAACCTCAAAGGCTCAAACTCGATGCGACTTGCACCAGAAAATATGCAGTCTAATACCCTCTTTAAAGAAAAAGGTGATTCACGATATGCATAGAGTGTTGATGAATCTTTCGAAATAGAATTGATAGTTGTGGGTAGAGGAATGTCAAGAATATAGGAATCACAATAGTTGAATGTGTTGGTGTATGTATTGGAAGGGTAATAGTTTTTTTGGAGAGGACAGTTCGGAAAAGAAGAAAAATATTAGCCAATGTCTTTGAAAGCAAACACGTGGTCATAATGTATATCATAAATGAGTTAAATGGAAGACCTTTATTAGTAGAACAGGTGCCGGAGAATTTGGAGCATTGAGTAGTCGTTGGACCCTATTTTTTTCTTGTTCACGTAACTCGCGATATCTAAGCCGACGTCTTAAGTTTGTTTGTTCACGTTGAGTACCCTCGGCGACTGGTTGAGTAGATGAAGATCCAAATTTCATTGAATCTTTAATAACTTAAGAATACACCCAAGTGTTGAGTAATGTTATACATCATGTAATTACAAATATATGCATTAAACTCAGTAAATCATAGGTTTTTTTAAAAAAATATGTGGCTACCAAATAAGAGAACAGAGGTTCTTTTAGAACTAAGTGTCATTACAGATATCTATATCGGCTTATAAAGAATTTTAATTCTTAGCAAATCATTTTGACATTACATTTCTAGAAATACATACAAAATCTGTTTTCAATAAAATTTAAAGAAATACTCCGTATATCTTTAAAGTGCGTAAACATACCAAGAAACTGGAACAAGAAGTTGATGAGATAAAAACGGGGCACAAAGAGTACACCTGTGAAGACCATAAAGAATAAAATGTTTATCAAAGTAATTACATGAACACCTTCTTGACATATATGTAAATCACCACCCCTATGAATAAAGAAATGTAAAAAAGTTGGGCACCCACACACGATGAGTGTGAGTATTGGTCTCATTTTACTTCAAAACTATGGGAGAACATAGAATTTGTTGAACCGAGTACAATACGTGGAAGTGGAGCAAATGAGGCGGTGGAAACTACCCTTAAAGGGAAGGAGCGTTATTGCTACTAAAGGTTCTCATAGGTTGAATATAATCATGGTTAACAATTCTATGATGGAAGTTTACGAGGATATTTTCTCCAAACATCTCAATAAGGCCACATCTGACCTCAAACCTGTATTTTTATGCTGCAATAATCCTGATAAGGGTGGTCCTAAACCTTACAGATTTGTTAATGCATGGGTGAATCATCACAGCTTCCATAGTATCGTCTCTGATTTCTTGATAAAGAATTTTGATCATGGGGGGATGTCTAGATTAGCCTCTAAAATCAAGGGTCATAAAATACAGGTTAAAGATTGGAACAAAGGTACCTTTGGGAACATATTATCTAACCTGGAAAAAATCTAAGGAAACGCTCCTCAAAGCTCAAGAAGTATATATGAAAGAGACCCTAATGTGGAAGACAGAGAAGCTGATAATAAAGCAATAGGCAATCTCATTATGGCCTGTGATAATGACCTAAGCTATTGAAAGCAGAAGGCCAATCAAAAATGGATGGAGTGGTGCAGGGACCCGACTACGGCTTGGGCTGACCAGAAAAATGGCCATTGGTTTCTAACTACAGGGTCCCAGCTTAATAAAACATGTGTTGCATTTGTTTATGAAACTGCTGATTTTAAAAGATATAAGCTTTTGGATGGATTCCTGCATTCAGTTCCGGGTACAGGTATGTGGGAGTGTGTGGACTTTTTCCCAATTTCATTCGTTTACGAAAATGGGTCTGGCCAATCAATTAATGGATCGAGTATGAAGCATGTCCTCAAGAGCCTTCATACACCACTCATTTTCAGTAAAAAAATGGACAAGGACTTTTTCAAAAATGCAGTAAATAAAAGAGCACTTGAAATAGAACGAATAATCAATTGAAATATTAGAAAAATAAACACACCAAACACCAACCAACAAATCCAAAACTAAAAGTCACATACACATAGAGTCATGCGGTGTATACCAATCTTAAGCAATAGAAATTTTAAATTATCCAAGCTAAGCACCCAAAATTCAAATGGAGTCCTTTTTTTGGGAAGTGGCTGAAGTTTAAAGAAATTCCAATAATTTGGCAAACTGAAAAAAGAACTTCAATTTTTATGTAAATTCCAGAAGTTTGAAGGGATATCCAAACTTTGCAAACCGAAAAAACCTCAATTTTTTTAGAAGTGGCTGAAGTTTCAAGGGATTTCCAACTTTTGCTAACTAAAATTGCTGTGAATTTGAAGTAGGAAGAATTGAAATTGAATTAGGAAGAATTGAAATTAAAGAGGCAGGAAGAGACAGCGGAATACCTGCGAAGTTGAAGGACGATAGCCGTACCGGAAGAAGAAATTGTAGGAGGATAAAAATATAAGTGAGCAAATGATGTGCAGAAAATAATGAGACCCAGAACACAATGATCCATTAAGAAGAAGTGCAGAAAAAACCATTCTGATTTGAGCTAACATACCAACTACCAACCATATGTTATATATGCAATCACATAACCAAAGAACAAATAGATGTCACTTACACACATAAAAAAAGTCTATGAATTCAGTTTGTATGTGTATATGAAAGTTTGTTCCAAATAAGGACCTAAACAATGGATGACAGACATAAGGCAAGCATATACAAAGTTTAAAGTAATAGAGTAAATAACACAGTAATTGAAGTAGAAAGTAAATTGCTTGTCTTATGCTTTGATTAAAACATATACAAAGTTTGTATTGGTTGGGTGGACTTATTTTTAATCAAAGTTGATGTCATCCCAAGTGACTCTTAATCAATTTTTAATCCCAGGTGGACAAATAAATTACAAAGCTTGGGTGGACTTATTTTTAATCAAAGCTTGGGTGGACTTTGCATTAATAGATCAAACAACACAGTAATTGGCCTATTTAGTCTATTTAGTCATAAAAGTCAGTTTTTATGACTCTATTTAGACATAAGGCAAGCATATACAGACATAAGGCAATCATTTAAACTCTGTGTGAATTCACTTTTTAAGTGGACTTATTTACTCTATTTAGTCATAAATCATTACACACTTTTATATGTTTTCTGCAACCAAAATTCCAGATGAGATTAAATTCAAGAATGCCCAAAGGGCCCAGTCTTTTTTCAAATCAAAATTGAACAAAATTGATGCAGAGCTTCAGCAATCACATTACCCAAAATCATGTTAAAAGAAAAAAATATTCAAATTTGCAGAAATTGGAATTCAGAGCAAAAGAAGGTACAGATTTGAAGATTATGAGGCATGAGGATATGAAGATGTGTGAAGAAGATCGACATACCTGGTAAATGAAGAAGAAAGCCGAATAAAAACAGGTCAGTGAAGGAGATGAAGGATATAACAGCTGAGGGGTGAGAATTGAAGCGCGAGACATTGTGGGGCGGCGGGCGGCGAAAGGGGCGAATGGGGAGTACGCTGCGTAGTGAGAAGAGAAGAGTGGGCAATTGAGAAGAGACGACTTTGGAAAACGGAGCGTAGGATTGCGGTAAACTGACGGGGAAATGGGCAATTGGACGGAACACTGACGGAAAAAGGACCTAACTTCACGGAGGAAACTTTGTTGCCTCCATCTTCTCATTTCATTTTTTAACAATTAAAATACCACAACTACCCTCACTTACTTTATTTATTACACCTCACCCACCTCGTTTAAAACACTCCACCCATTTTCATTAAGGGTATTATGGTAAACTTTCACCTTTTTTCAACTCTTCTTAAAAACCACCAAAAGTCAAAATGAGAATATCTTAGGGGGACGGAGGGAGTATAATATAAGGGGGATAGAAAGGGAAGGACAGCTGGAAAGAAATTAACTCCTAACAAACTAACAAACCGGAAGGAAAATAGCAAAATACTATCTTGTCTCATTGTTTTTGTCCACTTTTG